ACTTGGTCAGCCGATACAAAATCACCCAAATGGCATCGAACTTCTTCAAAGTCCGTGGGAGTCCAACTACGAAGTCCATGGTGATCCGCTCCCACTTCCACTCCGGAATCTCTATCTACTAAAGCAACCCACCCGGTGTTTGATGTTCATACTTTACCTACTGACAATTGAGGCACTAAGCTACAAACCCAACTATATCCTTCTTCATCCGCCTCCACCAATAGTGCTATCTCAAGTCCTGGTACATCTTCGCGGCACCTGTATGAATGGAATACCGTGAACTATAGGCCTCCTCTAAAATTAACTCGCGATGCCCATCAACATTTGGTACACATACCCAACCTTGCATCCTCAATACCCCATCATTACCAATAGTCACATCTCTGATACGATCAAATAAAGAAGACCGAGAAATCACGAAAGCTAGAACCTGACTAGGCTCCGAAAGATCCAATCTCACAAACTGGCTGGCTAAGGCTTGAACATCCATCGCCATGGGCCTCTCCGCTTCTTGTAAATAAGCCAAACTCCACAAACTCTCTGCCCAACGACTCAAAGCATCGGCCACCACATTGGCCTTGCCCGAGTGATACAAGATAGTGATATCATAGTCCTTCAGCAGCTCTAACCACCTCCTCTAGCGCAAATTAAGATCCTTCTACTTGAACATATGTTGCAAACTCCGGTGATCAGTATAGATCTCACAGGAACACCGTACAAATAATGACGCCAGATCTTCAAGGCGTGAACAATAGCAGCCAACTCGAGATCATGGACAAGTTAATTCTTCTCATGTACCTTCAATTGTCTGGACGCATAGGAAATCACCCTACCATCCTGCATCAATACCGCTCCAAGGCCAATCCTCAAGGCATCACAATAGACAATATAAGACCCCGAACCTGTAGGCAATATCAGTAATGGGGCTGTAGTCAAAGCTGTCTTGAGCTTTTGGAAGCTCTCCGCACACTCTTCCATCCACTAGAACGGAGCACCCTTCTGGGTCAGCCTGGTCATAGGTGCTGCAATAGATGAAAATCCCTCAACAAATCGACGGTAATAATCCGCCAAGCCAAGAAAACCGTGGATCTCTGTAGCTGAGGATGGTCTGGGCCAGCTCTGCACTACTTCCACTTTCTTCGGATACACATTTATCCCCTCACTCGATACTACGTGACCTAACCACGGAATCCAACCAAAACTCACATTTCGAAAACTTTGCATATAATTTCTTTTCTATCAAAGTCTAAAGCACTGTCCTCAGGTACTGCTCATGATCTTCCCGACTCCGGGAGCATAACAAAATATCATCAATAAAGACAATGCCAAACGAGTCAAGATATGGCCGGAACACACTGTGCATCAAATGCATGAAGGCTGCTGGGGAATTGGTCAGCCCAAATGACATAACAAGGAACTCGTAATGACCATACCGAGTCATGAAAGTAGTCTTCAGGATATCTGGGTCCCGAATCTTCAACTGATGGTAACCTGAATGCAAGTCAATCTTAGAAAACACTCGTGCACCCTGTAGGTGGTCAAACAAATTATCAATACGAGGCAAAGGATACCGGTTCTTCACTGTAACTTTGTTCAACTGGCGATAATCAATGCACATACGCATAGAAGCATCCTTCCTCTTCACAAACAAGACAGGAACACTCCAAGGTGATACACTGGGCCAAATAAAACCCTTATCAAGCAATTCCTATAACTGATCCTTCAACTCCTTCAACTCAGGAGGGGCCATATGATATGGAGAAATAGAAATGGGCTGAGTGCCTGGCAACAAATCAATGCCGAAATCAATATCTCTATCGGGCGGCATACCCGGAAGGTCAATTGGAAACACATCAAGGAAGTCCTATACTACTGGGACTAAATCAACTATAGGGGTATCAATACTGACATCTCTCACATAGGCTAGATACGCGTCACACCCCTTCTCAACCATTCGCTGAGCCTTAAGGAAAGAAATAACTCTACTAGGAATGTGATCTAAAGTACCCCTCCACTCTACTCACGGTACACCTGGCATAGCCAACATCATGGTTTTGGCGTGACAATAAATAATAGAATAATGGGGAGACAACCAGTCAAAATCTACCATGCTGAGCAATAATATATCGGCTCTTGTCTCAAAACCACTAAAAGCAACCAAACACGACCGATAAACGCGGTCCACAACAAGAAAATTTTCCATAGGAGTAGAAACATAAATAGGGGAATTCAAAAAATCCCGAGATATGCTAAAATGCAGGGCAAAATAAGAGGACACATAAGAATAAGTGGAACTTGGATAGAATAAAACCGATGAATCTCTATGACAAACTAGGACAATACCTATGATGATGGAATCGGAGGTGACAGCCTCAGTACGAGCAGGACGAGCATAATATCTAGCCTGGCCTCCCCTTCTAGGGCGACCTCTTCCTCCCTGACCTCCACCTCTAGTTGGCTGACCAGGTGGGGTAGCAACTGTAGGGATGGCAATTGGGGCAGGGTAGGGTAGGGATAACCTTAAATGGGGCAAGGCAGGGAAGGGCAAATTGTTATTTTTAAAATATTTTAATAGGGCAGGGCAGGGTAGGGCACATACGGGTTAATAGTTGGGTCGGGTCAAAATAATTTAGACCCGCATACCGGCGTACTCCCAAATCTTAAATCCCAATCGCTAAAAGCGTAAAACCTAATTTCCAAACTCAGAAGTCAAAAACTCTCAATCTCTCATACGATTCTTCTTCCTCTTTGAACTGCTGCGAATCTGCGATTCTTCTTCCTCAAACCTTCTTCGATTCTTCTTCCTCAAACCTTCTTCGATTCTTCTTCCTCCAGTAAATCCACGTAAATATCTAATAAGTACATAGTTCTCTTTTTTCTCTAATAATTTCCATTCATTTTGTCACAACCACTGGTCCAGCCTAGTAATGGTGTTTCACTGATCAACAGACCTTTTTTTGGAGAAGAACTACCTTGGACCAGGTCTACCGATCTTTATTTGTCAAGTTCGGACTCGATTTTGTTGCTACTTGGTTTCTCTGATTCTATATTCTGTTGGGAGATTAGTGTCGGGCTGCCCTTTTTTTTAATTTTGTTACTGATATAGTGGGTTGCCTATGCATAGAGAGTTATCTGATTGCTGGGTTTCAGTATTATACGTGCTTTTTCTGTACCTTAATCCTGGCATAGTGTTACTCAACTACCAGGTTTCTTATAGTTCTGCTTTGTGATTTATCTATGTGGAAAAGACTTGGTCGAAAATCCTTGTTTGAGTTTCCCATTTGTGGGAAATTTTGGTGGATCCTCCAATTTATTTTGGTAATGTGAGTAATTATCTGGAAAGGAAACAAACGATGTGTAGTTTTAGTCTTTTAGAAAATGATTCTTGGCTTCTCCTTCGACAAGAACTAGAAGTCTTGCTATGGCTTCTCCTTGGGCTGTTAGAATTGACATGGCGGGCTTGTTTCATTCTTAGTGCCATATTGCTATGGCTTCCTGGTGTGCATAAAATGAAAAAAAAAATTATTTTCTACTTCCAAATGTTTCCTTTAGGAACTCCATTGTAGCATAGGGAGTTTGCACAATGTATTGTAAAGGAATCCAATTCACATAGATAATATCATCAGATTTCTTAGTTTAAATATAAGATCATCTGTTGTAGATGGACACCATCTTTTGTTACTTTGTTTATCACAGTACTTGAAATATCTAAATACTCCTACCAAATATTTTGTTAATATAAGTTAATACTAGCAGATTCGATGTACATGTCAAGGAAAACCTGCACCATGGAACTTATGCTTGGTGAAATTCAGATATCATCTTGTCCAAATCAATCACTTAACTACTGTTTGACTGTTCATTTTGATACAAAAGTGAGTAGGTTCTAGGAATATGACATTTGGTTATTAAATTTTGTTGATGGAGAATGAGACAAATCTTCTTGTCGCTGGGACATATACTAAATATCAATTTTTAGTGATATTTCTTGTCTTTGTTTTACTAGATAATCATGGCATCTCAAATTGAAGAGAATCTACCAGCTTCATCTACTAATGCTATTTCCTTAGACGATGAGAGTCAAAGGCCTTCACAACCTGATGAAGTTGAACTGAAAAAAGGAGATATTCCCGAGCATGGGATCATTTCGAGCTAGTAAAGGTTAAGGGTGTTCCATATGGTGCTTGTAAATATTGCGATCGCCGGTATAAAAATTCTAGAAATTATGGGACAAAATCTATGTTATATCACATGCTTAAGTGTCCTAATAGGCCAAGAGATGCACAAAATGAGGGCGATACCGGTGGTGGTTATTTTGATCAAGATGTTTCACGTAAAAAACTTGCACATGCCATTATTTTACACGAGTATTCACTCTCTATAGTTGATCATGTGGGATTTAGGAACTTTGTTGCGAGTCTTCAACCTATGTTTAAGATGGTTTCCAGAAATACAATCAAGAATGACATAATAAAAATCTTTGACAATTTGAAATCGCAAACTTCTATGTTGTTGGAGAAAGTCACGAGTAGAATTGCAATAACAACCGATATGTGGACTTCCAATAGTAACAAAAAAGGGTTCATGACTATTACTGGTCATTTCACTGATGATTCATGGAGGCTTCAAAGTATTTTGAGATTTGCTTATGTCCCTGCTCCACATGATAAAGATGCTTTGTGTGGTGCTTTGGTTAATTGTTTGTTTGATTAGAATCTTGAACGAAAACTATCGACTATCACAGTTGATAATTGTAGCACAAATAATGCTATGATTAAAACTTTATTGGATGAGAAACTTAATAAAAAAGATTTGTTGTTGAGTGGTCGAGTATTTCATGTGAGTTGTGCTGCACATATTTTAAACTTGATTGTGCAAGAAGGGTTAAAAGTGATAGGAGATAGTATTAGCAAAGTGCGTGATAGTGTCTTGTATTTGATTGGATCAGCTGGCAAAATTGACAGGTTTGAAGAAGCAACACGTTTGGTTCACTGTTCTTGTTATAAGAAGTTGGAGTATGATTGTCCTACTAGGTGGAACTCAACATATTTAATGTTGAGAACAACTATAAAATACAAAGAGGTGTTTAACAAGTTGAGTCTAACTGACACAAATTATAAGTCGTATCCAACTGAAGAGCAATGGAGTAATGCAGAAGATGTTTCTGATAAACTCAAACTTTTTTATCATATCACTGAACAGTTTTCAGAAACTCAATATCCAACTTCTAGTCAATACTTTACAAAAGTTTGTGAAATTAAATTAGAATTGGAAGCTTGGGTGAAAGAGCTTAATCCTTTGATTAGCGATATGACATCTGCCATGTTGTTGAAATTTAAAAAATATTGGGATGGTGTGCATATTTTGATAGGAGTAGCTTCCATCTTTGATCCACGGTACAAGATGAGGTTGGTAAAGTTCTTTATTCCACTAATTTATGGTGAAGAAGCTTCAACTAAAATTCAAGAAGTTCGATCCAATTGTTATGATCTCTTTCAAGATTATAAGAGTAAATTATCTGCTCCACATGATTCATTAGCATCTAGTTCTAGTGAAGTCACTAGTTTTACTCAGGGTGATCGGCTTTCGAGCTTTGATAGATTTGTAGCTTCAACTGGAGCTACAGTGGAGAAAAGATCAGAGTTGGATATGTACTTAGAAGAAGACCTACTACCTCGAACCCCTTCATTTGACAATTTGAGTTGGTGGAAGACAAATGGATTGAAATTTCCTACATTGCAAAAAATGGCTCGTGATCTCTTAGCCATTCCCGTGTCTAGTGTTGCTTCAGAATCGGCATTTACCACTAGTGGGAGGTTGATTAGCCCGCATCGGAGTAGACTCCACCCCACAACTTTGGAAGCTTTAATGTGTGCTCGCACGTGGTTATGGAATGACTTAAATGGTAAGTAATTTTCTCATTATTGTCTTAATAGGTATTCAATTGTTTAATACTATATTGATACATTGAACTATGCATTTTTCCTTTTAGGTTTGACTTCAACCGCTGATCAAGTTTCATGTCCCACATTGCTTGATGAAGAGGACGAGCCGAATTCAAGTGGTTTATCGCAACTATGAGACCCTTGACATGCTACTGTTTTTCCACATAGCTACTGTTTCACATAGCTACTGTTTCAATTTATAGTATTTGTTTTTATTGTTATTGGTACTGTTTGAATTTAAGTATGGTTTCGGCCTACTTGTAGCAGTTAAATGTTCCATGTAAAACTCACAGTTTTTTCTTCATGGTTAATAGACTGTGTTTGTCAAGTGGTTACAACTTACAGGATTGACTGACTGTGCAAAGACATACATTTCCATGATGGGGTTCAGTAGGAATACATGTACATGTTGTCTGATGTGTGTCTAGCTAGTACGAAGTGACTATGGTTGAGTAGGAATACATGTACATGTTGTCTAATGTGTGTCTAGCTAGTACGAAGTGAATATGGTTCCTGCAAAGGCAACCTTAATCTATAAAATGAAAGTATTCTACCAAATATATACTCATCATTATAAAAATGTAATTTACACCCCTAATCTATAAAATGAAAGTATTCTACCAAATATATACTCATCATTATAAAAATGTAATTTACACCCCTAATCTATAAAATGAAAGTATTCTACCAAATATATACTCATCATTATAAAAATGTAATTTACACCCCAGGGATAATAAACTAAGACACTTGAACATCAAGAGTATACAACAATAGACTTTTGTTCAAAAATATATAAAATTTCTTCAACTCTTGCAATGCAGACTGGCAGTCTTCCAAATCCTTTTCAGTTCCTTCATGAACTTGTATCCCTCACAGTAGCAACCCAACTCAGATTTGAAAATCTTTTTAATAGTTCTCACAACTAACTTGCAACTGTACAATGAAGATCTTGATCTTTTAGCCCAGTTGACACGACAATATTTGCAAGAGAGAGAGTGTGTGTGTGCGCGCGCTCGTATAACATGAGACTTTTTTTTTGTTTCTATACAAAGGTTACGATCCTAAAATTGTATGTGTATATACAAATATACTAGTACATGATTATGAAGATGGGATCTGCTCATACAATATATATAAACATAATATTACAAATTTGAAAAAAAATACAAGAGAACCTAAACGGGACAGGGAGAGGCAGGGCAGGGCGGGCCAAGCAANAGGCGGGGCAGGGCAATATTTGAAAAAATTCTAAATAGGGCAGAGCAAGACGGGTCAAAATATTAGCAGGTCAAGGCTTGCCCCGCCCCGCCCTAACTTGCCCTGCCCCATTTGACACCCCTAAGCAACTGGTGCTGTAATCATAGCCTGAGAACTCTGTGGGGCACGCTGTGGCTAAGACGTCTGTGGAGGTGCACCCCTCCTAAGTCTGCGGCAATCCCTGACCATATGGCATGTGTCACCATACTCAAAACAAGCTCTCGGAGGTCGTGGCAGCTGTGACTGGCTCGGGCCAAGTCTGTTGGACTAACCACTGAAAGCACCCCGTGCAAGAGGCGCACTAGATACTAGAGATGCATAATAAGGCTCCTGAGGTCTAGGGAGAGCTGGAATACCACTGGCTGCTAGAAGAGCTAAATGAACGGTGTAACTCATATAACCCCTACTATGACAAACTACAGCTGGGGAACGGTCACCAGAATAATAGCTCGACTCTCGAGGCCTCCTGGCTTCCCTCTCATCTCTATCCCGAGCATGCATACCCTCTACTCTCCTAGCAATGCTCACCACCTGCTGATAAGAGATATCTATCTTCAACTCTCGAGCCATGCTAGACCTGATGCTAGGAATGAGCCCCTCAATAAGCCGGTGAACTCTCTCATAAACTGTAGAAACCAAGGCTGGTGCATGCCTAGCCAAGTTAGTGAAATGGATAACATACTCTGAAACAGTCATAGTGCCCTGGCACAAATGCTCAAACTCTGCACGCCATGTGTCCCTGAGGCTCTGAGGGACAAACTCTCTCAAGAACATATCAGAAAATTGAGTCAAAGTAAGGGAAGGTGCCTCAGCTGGACTGTCCAACTCAAAAGTACGCCACCACTGATAGGCTGCTCTTAGAAGCTGGAAGGCAGAGAAAGAAACCCCACTCGATCCTGATATACCCATAGTGCGAAGGATACAGTAGCACTCCTCCAAAAATCCCAGAGCATCATCTAATGCTAGACCACTGAATACAGGAGGCTTGTACTTCTTAAACCTCTCAAGCCTCCGCTGCTCCTCCTCTGAAGTTGCTGCCCTATCCTCAGGCTGAACTGGGGCTACAGGTGGTACCAGTATAACCTTTGGGACCTGATCAACCTGGATCCGCTGCTCAGGAGTGCGGGCGGTGGGAGTCTATACTCCTCCCCCGGCCTGGGATGTGGCTGCAGCAAGGGGAATCAACCCTGCCTGAGCTAGGGTGGTGTACATGCTCACGAACTGCGCAAGGGTCTCCTGAAGAGCTAGCATAGTAGTAGTAGTAGGCATATCAGGTGCCTGGACTCCGGCTGGAGCTGCTGGCGGCTCCTCGGTGGCAGCTCGTGTGGGTGCTCTGGCTGCACCACATGCGCGTCCTCAGCCTCTACCCCGGCCCCAACCTCTGACGGCTCTAGCAGGGGGCACGGGTGCCTGGTCATCTCTGATAACATGTTTCCTCACCATCTATGAGAGAATAGAAGATATAATTTCAGAATTTTGATATCAAAAATCTCGCATGACAAGGAAATCAAATGAAGTGGAATTTTCCTAACAGTTATATAGGATCTCGTAGATAAGTACAGACGTCTCTGTACCGATCTGCGAGACTCTAATAAATCGGTTTGTGATTCATGACTCCTATGAACCTAGAGCTCTGATACCAACTTGTCACGACCAAAGTTCGCCCTCCGTGAATTGTCGTGACGGTACCTAGTCTCTACGACTAGGTAAGCCTAACAAATTGCGGAAAAGGAAACGAAATACAAAACTAGCAAGAACTGCGAATAAACATAATAATAACATTTAAGATGCCGCTCGACATATACAAATACACACTCTCAACACTGAATTAACTCCCAAAACCCGGAATCTCATGAAATCACAAACTATGGATACTGCATAGCGTTCGAACTCCAGAATTTCTAATCAAAAGAAAGTATAGAAGGTCTATTACTAAAAGAGAAAATAGAGAGGGACTCATCGGTCTGCGGACACGACAGATATACCTCANAGGCAAGAAAATAGAAAAACGCCCAAAAATCCTCCCCGGGCCCACGTCTCGGAATCGGGTAAAATTACGAATTATGAACACACATTCACTCACAAGTCTAACCATACCAAAATTACTCCAATACGATACCATAATCTTGATCAAAACCCCAAAATTAGGCCTAAGAACTTTTCTCAATTTTCCCCAATTTGTCACCCTAAATCCGAAATTAGATGATGAATTTATGTTTAGATTAATGGGTTATAAATATAAAGGAGTTAGGAATCATTACCCGCAAACTTCCTCCGAAAATCTCTCTAAAATTCGCCTCCTACCGAGCTCCCAATTCAATTTTGTGATATGAACTCAAAACCCTCGATTTTGAACTTTATGTTCTGCCTAGACCCGTTCTTCTT